TGACAATCCTGTAGTTGTGACCAAGGAAGAAAGAGATCATACAATAATTGCACTCTGCGGAATAACTACGTTATAGATGGTAAAAAGTAGTGGCGCATAAACATATACTTTATGCATTTCATTTGGTTTGATGAGTTAAGTTTACAGGGTGAGTAAAAAAAAACACGAAACCCAAAGTTGGGACCATTGTTTTAGTGAAGTTCTGCATGCAACACTTCAAAATCTAGGATATAAAAACCCAATTCATAAGCCTTCTTTTAGTACAAGAAACATTCAAATCACTCATGTACTTTTCAAGTTACGGAATTTTTAAACACAACCACCGTTTTAAGGTTCTGTCCACGGATCACAAAACAGTTCAGTGTTCTTTCAGCAAAACGAAAACATCCGTGGACAGAACTTTCAAACGATGGTTGTCTTTAAAATTCCGTAACTTGAAAAGTACACAAGTGATTTGAATGATTCTTGTACTAAAAGAAAGCTTATGAATTGGGCTTTCATGTCCTAGATTTTGAAAGTGCTACATGTAGAACTTCAATAAAATAATAGTCCCGACATTTGGGATTGGTTTTTTTTTTACTCACCCTGTACAGTATTACCTCCGGCAAGAAGATTATGTTTTCATCTGCGAGGGTTTGTTTGTTGGTTGGTTGGTTGGTTTGTCTGTGAACACGATAACTCAAAAAGTTAAGGACGGATTTTCATGAAATTGTTTTTTAGGAGTGGTCCTTGGTACAAGTACAAATCGCAGTGGATATGCGAGTATTTCTTTTGGGTGAACTGACAATACGTTTGCGCTCTCTGAGTGCTTTCTAGTTTGGATTGCATTTCGGTGTTTTCTTTTCAGGACTAACCGAATTTACATGGAAAGGCAATCGTTCTAGGTCTGAATTCTACGTGTGTTATCGGTGATTTTCTGCACTTACAAGCCGGTGGTTCGGTGTCCTCTATTCGTAATTCTGGAAAAACAAATATACAGTACAGTGCACAGAAGAAATACAATGAAACCATGAACTCTCAAATAACATTTTTCACCGCAATCAAGTCAGTAAGCAGTTTGCAGCATTTCTCATTATTTCAAATAATTAAAATGAAACTCATGGTAATGCAACAGCTACACAGAACGCATTCTGCCACGAGTTGTTCCTCGTGATTAGCATTCTTCCATAAATAAGGGAATAAATGTGTGCTTGACCGGTTTTAACACTTTAAAAAAAAACCGGTTTGGGGTCTGGACGCTGATGATGACCCGAGTCGAAGGCGAGCCTCTTTATCAGCGTCCAGACTCCAACCCGGTCTTAAACATTGTGCTTAATACCGGCGAAGTACATTCCCATTCACGAATAACTTTTCGGTCAAACAGTCCAAACAAGTCAAAAATTATAAATTTCCAACGATTTGTAAAACAAGTTTAATTCATGTTTTGCGTAACACCCCTCTGGCTATGTCATGGTATGTGCCTCTCGCAAGGAGTCGTAAACAACTCCTTATATGGAGATAGGCGCGCCTGTTGCGCGTACAGCGCGATGTGGCGCAGAATGCAGCTGTGCCGGTGCAGTGTGAATTAAGGACTATAAAATACGGACTCATTGGTAGTATTGCACATGCCTAACCGAGGATTGTGAACGTTCAACCGAAAAAAAGGGTAAAAGGCACTGGATTTCATAGGGGTCAAAATTTCATGTTACACTGGAAAAGTGTTTAAAACTAGCCAGCCGGTGTTTTATCAACCGTTTAAGACCGGCCACGTGACGGGCTCTCGACCAATAGGACTGGGTAAACTGTCTCAGGTATTTATGAATAAAAGTCTAACACTAGTAACTTTAATCACATCACAGCCTTGCATTTCCCCTACAGAAATAGCCACTCTGAATAAATTTAACAGAATTTTCTGGACAGTGGGGCAAGCGTTAATGAGCTGGCTTTGTCTTGTTTTAATTATAAACTTGTCTGATAATGATTCCAATCAGGACTTTGTTTACAAGTGCACATGCACTGTGGCTTGGAAGTCTTAACAAACCTAGACGGAAACGACGATGAAGAAGAGTTCACTTTTAGAGGTTGGATGAAACTCAGGAAGAATATCCCAGTGAAAACCTACGGAGTCAGGTAGGACCGAACGCCGAGTTCACATGCGGACCAGGGCAGGAATCTAACCCGGACCATAAAGGTGGAAGATGAGGAAAGAACCGCTGAACGAACCCGAGTCACCAAATACCAAAATAATTACCAAATGCCAAGGGAAATTTAATACATGCCAAGAGAGATTTTAAAACTATCAGCAAACCCAAACCCAAGATGCATATACGGCCATCAATTTGAAGTAGTAAACTACAGTGACTTGTACGAATAGGCCTATGCAGACTCGCGCACATTACACTTTCCTATCCTAGGCATGTCGTTTTGTCCCGACGATCAGACTTATTTCCGGCCAATAAGATAATTACCGCGAAAGGTTACAGAAAAACCGTTCCATCATTTCCCGGTTGCTCACTTTAAGGCCCCGGCCGGCGATTGGTAACAAAACCTGACACACACACACAACAAAAAAAGCTTGCAGCCTAGCGATAGCAATTCCCTAAATTAAAAAAAAAAGTGGGACCGTGAAAATGGGGGACAAGGCGCCGTGTTGGTCCCGGTCGCGCCGTGAGGGATTCCCGCTAATAGCCCGGAGTTTTGTAGGTCTACCTGCCTCGCATGCGAGAGAAGGCAATGTTGATAGTCTATGTGATAATGAGGATGGCGAGGGATGATCATTGACGATATTGACAGTGTTTTGGATGTGTTGTGGGGAAGGGGGGGGGGCTTGATGATGATAGTATAGGAGAGTAGCATCTGGGTCATTTAGTGGGGGGAGAGAACAGAAAGAGGGGAAAGGGGGGAAATGCTGTTTTGCCCTCGGGCAAGAAAAAAACGAGGGGAAAATTTGCGCCGACACAAGAGGCTCGAATACGAGCCACCCTTGATCAAATCCATCCATCATCTCGCTGCTATCATCGCGGATAATGGCGGCACGCCGAATATGGAGTAATCAGCAGGATGGATGGGTGCAGGGGAAGGGTGGGCGTGGCCGTTATGCCAACATGAGGGGTGGATCATTTGACTTGGACATTCTTGGGGTAATGTGTCAACAAAAGGTGAAACTACACTGTTAAGATGACTTGAACTCCCTCAGGTATGGTAGCACGTTGGTGGGTATACGGTTTATGGCATACCAAGTGCGGTGCGCGACGTATGTGTTTTTTAGTAGTTACCAGAACCAATTGCTTCTTAAAGCAAGCTTGATGACGTATGCCATACCTATGTGTCCTGACTACATCATTTTGAAGGCAGAACACTCACAGGATGGAATTTAATACACTAAGTTCCTGGTCGGATAAGACCTAGAAACTGGGTTGTTTTTGGCCTATAATAGTTTTCTGGGTAAAAAAAAATGACATTTTTCTGACTCAAAATGACACTTTTGCCAAAGGTTTCCGGGTCAAAATGAAGAAGTAAAATTGCTCAAGTGAAGTGTCATTATTGACCCAGGAAAAGTGTCGTTTTTGACCCTGTATTAGGCCAAAACAGAACCCGGTGCCGGGTAAATTCCGACCGTGCGACCGTGTAACTGGGCATCAGCTACGGGCGTCTTATTGCCGTCCAATCATCACTAATGTGAAAGCTACCCAAAAAGATACAAGTATTGCTTCCAGTAACAAAACAGTAAATTAAGAAGCTAGATTTGTAGAATTAGATCGTGATACCTACCAGCTCCTTAACCACCACCTATATAAGAGATGTGAAGAATTAAGGAACCGGTCCTTTTTTTCTTTTGACAGTTTACGAGGTTCGTCCTTCGCAACCACATCAATTACAGTCTATTACGATTGCCATCGAACACTACACATCGGCGGGACAAGGACGTAATATATTTCAGGCCGGCATTATAATTTCCAGACATAAGAATTGCCTCAGAGGGAAGAAAGAGAACAGAAAAGGCAGCTGGGTTTATCTGCAACATCCAACGCAAGGTGTTGTATTTCGCACACGGGGCACCCTCAGAAGGCTCCTTTGAAAAATTCTTTCAAGGCTAAACGCACAACGATCCAATGTAAAAGCAAAGAAAGTCAAACGGTGGAGAAATAGTGGAGGGGGTCATTAAGTGTTTAGTGTGAAACGAAGAGGGGTGCACCAATCTTACCCCGGTACTCCATTCCTATAACAATATGTACCAAAATGCAGCCACTATTGCCGAAAGATGTCTGCAAACATCGCGCCGGCTGTCTTGGGATACAATCGCGTATCACACTTTCACATTTTGAAACAGAATTATTAAGTTAACTATAAAAGAGGATAGGACTTTCAAATTGACACTGAAACTAGGGGCCTCTGTGTCGTCTTTTGTTGAGAGCGTTAAAAACAGAACAGGTCCTCAATTCATACATTGGCTAAGCGCTGAGACTCTCGGTTTCAATGCCAATTTTGGAACTCGTCTGTAACCAAAACTGGGCCCGAGTGCGAGAGGACTAACTTCAGTGGACACAATGACCAACGGGTGATGGTTTTCTTCTTTTTCTACCGGCATAATAATAATTGGGTTTGTCTATCTCTCTCTCTCTCTCCCCCTGGCTTTCTGATCCCACCGGCAGTCTGCAAAACTCATCACAAAAGGCAAGCCGACTGACCTTCGGTATATTGCAAAGCTATCGGGCGTTATTATTGTCGTAATTATTGACTTCGTTTGGTGCGATTATCATTTTTTTTCTCTTGGCGCTTCCGGATCTACTGGCGACCGGATGAGGACAGACAATAATACGGCAGGGGACAGGGAGTACCGGAAAGGGGTGAGAGGAGAAAATAACAACCCCCCCCCAAAAAAAAATATATATATTACCCCCCCAAAAAAAACCCAGGAAGGAAATATAGATAAAACAATTGAAAGAGGAAATGAAAAATGTAATAAAGGGAAAACTAACAGGCAACATTAATATTGGTATTCGCAAACCAGCCTACCTTTTATATTCGTGTTTTAGTTCACAGATCCGTTCTTGCTTTGCTTGTTTTAGACCGCTGTATCACAGTGATGGTCGACTACTATTCTTCCGCATTCTGGTCTCTTGTATATAAGCTTTCCTGTTTTGAGTAAGACGTATTAGACTTTACATAAGTTAAGTCCTGCTGAAACCCCATTTTTGTCATAAAAAAACACCATGCACAGGTCTTACAAAGTCACAAACGAACGATTCTTCTATCAAACTACATACCTCACAAGTTCATCTAAGACTATCCTTCTCTCTAAAATGGTCGGTGTTATAAGAAAAACTCTGTCCATCGGGATTATGCAGCCTATGAGAGATATCTGGGAAGCCCGTTCCCACTGGACTTAAAAGATACCGTGATGTATAAATAAAGGGACTAAATGGAAACTAAATTTGGGGTAAGGAGGCAAAACCTTGGAAAATCCCGTAGGAATGAGGTATTCGAGGGAGATGAGGAAATATGGAGGCAAGCCGAAGGATAGGACGGAAGTACTGGAAGGAAATAAAGGCAGAAAGCTTGAAAATTAAAGTAGAAGGTATCATGAGTCTCGATACTAGACCAACACAAAACTCAGGGAGAAAATTGCAGAAAGTTTGGACAAACGTTGTGTTTGAAAAAAAAAAAAAAATTTGCACTGCATTTTTAAAGGAAGAGTTTTGAAATACAATTGAATTTCAACTCCGGGATATATTTCCGCCGAAATTATTTTGAACTTTCTTTCTAAATATATACCAAAGAAAAGTGCTGACGGGGGTTCATTTCTCGGCTATATTATTAACTTCTTTGAACGATGCCGTACACTTGTTGACTTTAAAAGTCAAAATAAAAAACCACAACAGTGCGCGTTCCATGCCAGTGGCTATCCAGCAGACCCGAACACAAATCGGAAGTGATACCTATTCATCCGATTTTTTTCTTATCCCGGAGCAGCCTTGGTGGCAGTGTGTACGGGGGGATTAGGGCAACAGGACACGGCATGACGAAGCCCCTGAAACACGCTCGTGGAAAATTTGGGGGTTGTCGGTAGGGACACGGGGATTGGAGACTTTATTACCGAGACCTATCAAGACAAGAGCCAATTTCAACGAGCTGTTAGCAGACACAATTTTAAGCTAAGAGCCCATAAACGAAATCATGTCACCAGCCAAGTGATATTCATACACCATAACCGTTGGTATAACTGAATGTCGGGTATTTGTTGACACTTGGCATGTGTTAAAAATAACATTGACATTTTAGGTGTTTTTTTTTTTTTTTTTTTTTTTACTATTCGTCAAACACAAATTTACAAAGCACCGCTGTTCTGGCAATAGAAAGTCATCCCTGTTTTCATGATTGGATGTACGTGTTCTACATATAACCCCCGAGGACCAACACACAAAGGAAGAACAACAGATCCTTTCAGTCCTCGGGAGTAGGGTCTTTTGTTGGAAACGGTCCTCTGTAGTAATTGTGTGTGCTACGGGAGAGTGTTATATTACAGAGACAAAGGGAAACACAAGGCATTGTCCTCGAGAGTATAGTAAAACACGACTATGTGTTCTTGCCATGTGATACCGATTTTCAGAGACTGTTTCCATTTTTTTCTCACGGCATGTATATCTCTTGAAGCTTTGTTTTTCCAATAGTTGAGGTTTTATTGTTTAATGTGGGTAAAAATACATGAGAAATATGTTTGGGCGTTTGTTTTGCTTAAGTTGTGTGATTTTCTGTTGGAATGACGTCACGGGTGAAATGGTCTACACGGTGGAAACTGAAAAGACCAGATTTGTTTATAAACTATCAGTAGATCATTCAATTTGAAGAGGTATCTGCAAAGACTGCGGTGTTTAGATTTACACCGTTGGTATCTATATAGGACCATCTGGTGTTAAACCTTACTGGTGCTGTCCTATATAGATACCGAATGGTGTTAAATTAACACGACGGTTTTTCAGGGTAAAAAAAAACCGTCGTGCATATTGGTCGAGATAGACGCTGTCGTACTATGGACCTTTATCATGCTTCCACCATTTCAGGCATGTTTCCTATATCCAATAATAGTACTGAATGATAATGGTGTTTGTGCAAAAGGGAACCAGACTATTTTTCCTTCCAGCCTCGCTTTGGTTACGTTGATTTGAATGGGAAAAATCAAGATGGCCGCAACAAGATAGTGGTCTATACCAATATCGAAACTCCAAATGGCTATCACAACGGTACTTTTCTTCCCAACAGTTTGAACTTTTCACAACCGCCATAAAAATGTAGCAAAAGTGCAAGTTATTAAAAACGGCCACAAACACAACCGGGAACAAAGACATGTTTTTGAAATACCCGTACTTCGCTTCTTTTTTGTACACTTCTCAAAACAAAATTTATTATCAGTTTTCTCCGAGTTTTCCGGACAATACTGTCGCCTTGTTGGATTAAAAAAGAGAAGGATTTTTTTCTTTCTTTTCAATATTAGGGCCTACACACGTTTCCCACGGCTGAGTACATCGAAGGACACGAGAACATAAAAAGACGGCGCTTTTATGTAAACCCTTTATAGTAGTTTTGGAGAGAATTTTTTGTTGTTGTAATTTTGGTTATTTTTTTGGGTGAGATGAAAGGACACCAGAGTACAAGCGACCCGGTTGAGGCCCCGCATATGGAGGCCAGCACACACGGCTAGGTTGATGGATGGGTACGGATGGGACCGGGGACACCCCGTGAATGGGGCTGGGACGAACATCGCTTACCGGGCCAACTGGCTCTCTAATCGGGAGGCGGGCACAGGCACGGGGCTGCATGCAGGGCAAAAAAAACCCAAATTAGAAAAGGCACCGGAAAATCGGCCTCCATGTGTGTTCGGGGAAGAACACGTTGCAATTTAAGCCGTGACCGCAAAAAAAAAGATGCTACACATGCTGGGACATCATTTGAGGTTTTTTTTTCCCCCTTTACATAAAGCATTTCGGACAAATTAGTAATTTGGATAAAGTCGGGTCTGCAGAACAGCTGGCAGTTGAGGGGATATACAAGGCGCGAACGATAAAAGAAAGCGACACTGTGTCAAATAAGCGTAATAATTATCGCTTTGCACGCGAGGGCAAACAAGTATTTAACAACAATTTGTCCAGGGATATGGTGGAAAACACGCCCTCTAGCGACATGATGAAGAGAGTGTCATTAGAACGGCATTAACCCTGCATCAAATTGGTTCGTTTATCGGATACTAGTTCTCAAATCGTGGAGTCATAACATCCAAACATCACAATTCTGCATGCGGCTTTGGAAAATTCACAAAGAAACTGACTTCGAAAGAGGACATTTCTCGTTGAGAAAACAAAATCCTGGTTTGCTTTGAAAGATACGCGTGAAATGTACTACTTGAGCCTAGATCTCAACGGAATGCAAAATAGATGTACATGTAGTAATTCTTCAATCCAAGACGCAAAATTATGGACCCACCATATTGGAACGAAAGTGAGGCTGAAATCACAAGCCAACACCATTTCCCGTTTCAATATATGTACATAGGTAGGTAAGCTATTCATTTGAAAGGACAGCCTCTATTCAAATCAACCGTTCAAAAGCTTCCATAACAATGCTCATCCAAACAGGATGCTGACAATTTCATAGGACCCCGACTAGTCACTCTAAATGGGATTTACGAAACTCCGGCGTCGGTCCGGCTTTGTCTCCTTCTCCCGCCTATGTTTCATAAGAACCCTTCTACGTTCAAACCCAATGAAAGTACACCAACCATTTGGATTTATTGGACAACATTACGTGTGTCTAAAAGTAGAAAATGGACCAAAGGTCTTCTAGAGTGTTTCAAGTCAACGGGCTTTCGTTATGAAACTGGGGCTTGAAGCTGAATGCACACGAAGCCAACATTTCGTAAACGTCCTTAAAAAACTCCCCAGAACAATGATGCGAATCCCGGTGTGTTTTTCAAAGTGAAGATAGCACTGGTATAGACAAATATCCTGTGAAATTATTCCGCCTGAAAAAAATTATAATTCGGAAGGAAACAAACACTGAAGGTGGTTGTAAAAGTGGGCCCGCGGACACACTTTTTGGTACATGCGTTAGCAACGGAATCCATTTACAAGACACCCCCCCCCTCAAAAAAATGTTTTCACTTATTGCTTAAAATGTATAGTAAATGCTGAGCTGAAACTTCAACAAGTTACTTGTTATGTACCATAGGCGTACTTGTACAACTTTGAGCTATTCTCTTGCTAGCTTCAAACGGGGTCCACCCAATGTTCCCAAGTCCCTATGTTCCCCAGTCCTTAGGGTTGGGTTAGGGTTCGGTTAGGGTTGGGGACCGGGAACATAGGTACTGGGGAACATAGGGACTGGGGAACATAGGGATTGGGGAACACAGGGACTGGGGCACATAGGGACTGGAGAACATAGGGACTGGGGAACATATAGGGACTGGGGAACATATAGGGACTGGGGAACATATAGGGACTGGGGAACATATAGGGACTGGGGCACATAGGGACTGGGGAACATAGGGTCTGGGGAACATAGGGACTGGGGAACATAGGGACTGGGGAACATAGGGATTGGGGAACATAGGGACTGGGGAACATAGGGATTGGGGCAAATAGGGACTGGGGCACATAGGGACTTGGGAACATAGGGATTGGGGCACATATAGGGACTGGGGAACATACATAGGGACTGGGCAACATAGGGACTGGGGAACATAGGGATTGGGGTAAATAGGGACTGGGGCACATAGGGACTGGGGAACATAGGGATTGGGGCACGTATAGGGACTGGGGAACATACATAGGGACTGGGCAACATAGGGACTGGGGAACATAGGGATTGGGGCACATAGGGACTGGGCAACACAGGGACTGGGGAACATAGGGATTGGGGCACATAGGGACTGGGGAACATAGGGATTGGGGCACATAGGGACTGGGGCACACAGGGACTGGGGAACATAGGGATTTGGGCACATAGGGGACTGGGGAACATAGGGATTGGGGCACATAGGGGACTGGGGAACATATATAGGGAATGGGCAACATAGGGACTGGGGAACATAGGTATGCAACCGCTTCGGACAAAACAAATGCACAAAGAGCAAATGATACTAT